GAGACCACATAACCGGTCCAAAAAAGCTGTGCCCAAATATCGTGGAAATGGCTGCCAGGCCATTGGGCTGCAGAGCTCGTATCTCACCTAACAAGAGGGCACCCAGCGTGTCGGCCCCCAGTAACAAATCTATCGGCCCCGGTTGGGCCCACCGAGGGTCTGCCGGTCTCAAAGCCGACGCACAGCGCACAGCGCTGTCATTTATACGAACGTTAGGGAGGAACCCTACAATGTCGTCGAGGACATTTACCTTGACTAAAATACGAAGGTGTTCGCTGTCAGGGCTGAACACCAACTCCGATTGTCCCCTAGGAGCAGGAGGCTCGGCACCTCCGATACCTACCATCGGACGTGATTCAGAGCTCCAGGGGAGCCCCAGTCTTCCCACCAACCGAGTAGAGGCCACACTACGCTGGGAACCCGAGTCCAATAGAGCTCGAACCGTTAAGTGGTCGCCGCTCGGGTTGTAAACCTTCACTGAGGCTGTCGGCAATAGAACAGTTTGACAGGTGGACTGCTGACGACTTATAGGCTCAGTGGAGGCGGCCATGGCGGGAGCTAGGGCGGCAGCCTCCTATCTGGAGCTGCCTCTGTTAGGCCGGCACCCGAACCGGGGGGCCCGAGCGCGGCACTCCGACAGCGTCTCGATGACCCCCGACTGGAATTCCCCGAACGGGCCGACCGAGGGAAACTCGGGGATCCTCGGCTCCAAGGCTCGGGGCCGATACGCAGTCTCCGGAACCCGGTAGTACCGGCACCGGCCAAAGGGGGGCGGGCGGCGTTCCAGTCGCGGCCACTCAGCCAACGGGGGTGAGAAAGGTCTAGCTGACCGCTGAGTGGCCGCGAATCCACTATCAACGCGGGGAGGGGGGGTGAAGACCCCCCCGCCCCTGGGGGAACGACTCCCCGACCGATCGGGGGAGGGGCTCCCTTCAGAAGGAGGGGCGCTGCGGTCCGCCGGTGAGCGCCGAGCGTCGCCCGACAGTGGGCGTGGCTGGGCGCCCCCGCCCGTGGGAGTCGGGGGGCTGGCAGGGCCCTGCGAGGACGAGCCGCGCGCACCCAGGCACAAGAGGACGTTGTGGTTGCCCTGGCAGTGCGTGCAGGGCCGCTGGTGCGGGCAGTCTCGTTGTAAATGCCTCTCCAGGCACGAGAAGCACCAGCGGCGCTCCCTGGCGATGGTTCGCCTCGCCTTAGCCGGCTTGCGCAACAACTTCGGGCACGACGCCGTCCGGTGGTCGGATGCTCGACAATAGGAGCAGGGAGGCGCCTCCCGGGCCGCTAGGCCACTATAGGAGGGTACGGGGGGGCGCCCTCCCGCGGGGGCTACACTCGGCCTCAGGGGGGTGGGCGCCGCCTTGGCCGGCTGACTCCGCCTTTCCCTGGGCACCGCTCGGGAGGAGGCCGGGGGGCCCTCGACGGCGCCTGCTGCGTTCTCCAGCAGCCTGCACTGCTCTTCCAGGAACCGCAGCAGGTCCCTAAAGGGGGGCATATAAGAGGCGCCATCCCCTCCGAACCTCTCCTCAAAATGGAGCCGAAGGTCGAGGGGCAGGCGGGACAGCACTATATGAAGGAGCAGAAAAGACCACTCGTCCACAGGTAAATCCAGCCGCCGCAACGAGTTGCACGCTACGACGACTGGATTCACTATGTCTTCACGTAGTCTAGTCCGGTCCTTCAGCAGCGGGAGGTTCAGCAGCCTCCGAACATGATCGTCCGCAATCCGCCGGACGTTGGCGTACCTTCCAGCGAGGAGGTCCCTGGCGTTTTGGTAGGCGTCGTCCGACAACTTAAGGTGGCCGACGACGCTCAGGGCCTCCCCCTCTAGTGAAGCTAGGAGGTACCCCATTTTTTGGCAGGGGGTCAGGTCCCTCCGGGCGTCCACCAGGCTGTCAAACAGGCCGACGAAGGTCATCCACTCCGAGAGGACCCCGGAGAACCTTGGCAGGTCCAGCGTCGGAAGTCGTCCTAGCAGCTCTGGCTGAGCAGACGGCTTCCGCGGGGACTCGAGAAGGCTACTCAGCCGAGCTTCGCGCTCCCTCTCCGCATCCTTGGCCCCCGCCTCGATCAGGTCGTCCGTCAGCGCGAGGAACTGCTCGTAGTCCGCGCGGCAAGATTCCAGGACTCCCTTTTCCACCTCCAAGTCCTCGAGCTCAGAGTAAGCCTCCTCCACGGCCGCCCTTCGAGCATCGACCTGCTCAAGCCTCTTTCTCAGATTGTAGACCCTGTCCGGTCGGCCTATCAACGCGTGTGCGCTGGTAGCCCAGCGCAGCTCAGTCCGCAGGCAACGGATTAGCATCTTGGGCGAGGACATCACTACTAAATTCAAATTACGACGCGGCTCGAGCACAATTACAACAATAACAAATAAAAAAATACAAAAAAATTAACCGCTAACTAATGCAGTTCCTATCAAATCGAGTTGGATAGAATGTACACAAATAAGAACAGCTATTATTAAATCAACACAAGTTAGTACAAAGGAAAAGGTAAATCAAATCAACAATAACAAATACTAGTACGATCAAATCAAGTTCATTTAAATTACGTAAATACAAATTACCACTCTTTAGTTCAAATACAATTTACAATACGAAAGATATGTAACGAAGATACACATCAACAAAAATGCCTTGCTCGGAAATCAACCCTTCGATAAGTAACACACTACCATCCGACAACGACAATTAACCGATTACGTAAAAATAACCATCTACCTACATGACGCAATCTCCCGCTTGCGCGCGAACCGGGTGTGACCTTTCAATTTTACCCGCTAACAGTAAAGCAAGCTAACAAAGGAAGGAATTTTATTATTACGTATAATAATAAAAAGGTATTTTACGTATTACGGACGGGCGTGATTGTAGCCACAAATCCACCCAACGCTCCTGCCACCAAATTATTTAATTTTTATCCAATACTATGGTCGGTGGATCGACCGGGAATCGATCCCAGCACCGCGTTCTGCTACCAAATGTTACGGCCAACAGCTGCCCTGCCTAAACAGGAGTTGGATCCTTCGCGGCCCATAGACGAAGGAGCCACGGGCAGATGCAGGTCGGGCGTTCCTACGCCGAGGGTCAAAGGTTTCTAATGAACACGCGAGGGGAAAGGTCACTAGAAGAAATGCACTTACCTGCCTCAGGAGCGCCGACGGTTCTCCTAGACCGGCCCGGCTGAGGGAAGTTGTGCTTGGTGTATGCGGTGTTGTGAGTGTAGGTGTAATTGTGTGAGCTGGTATGTTGACGGGAACCGATCTGGATGACTCGACGACGTCCGGGAGAAGGCACGCGCTGGTATCCCCGGAACTTCACCCTTCTGGAGGCACTCGTAAGGGGTTGTCACCAAATGGGACGGCTACTCTGGTAGTCCTTCAGATGTAAATCACTTTGATAGTTGCGCGCGAATTTCACCGAGTTAGTACGTTCTAATAACGATACCGTTATTGCAACGATTTACGCGGATTGTTTCTTTAGCAAGTTTAGGCGCGAAAAAATACGTCCGTATAGTTCGCAAGAAAAATCCTACTACCTCGCGAGAAGAGCCACACCGACTCGTTGCGGCGGCCGGGGGGGCGGGGGAGAGGGAAGGTGCCCTTGATATCGAGGCCAAAAGCGCGCGTTAAATCCTGCGTTTTTATTGCAAATTTTCCTGCCTAGACAACATGTATGACATATTTACTTATTTTTTTAATAAATATTGTAATGTAATTGTTGCTAATGTATGATAGAATTAATGGAATACAATAAAGTTTTGTGCATGTGATTTTAGGCAATACATATTTTGTGAAATTAAATATACTTTGCCCAATACTTATGTACTTGAACCCAAACATGTTTTCAGGTTGATAATTACATATTATTTGTGACATTTATGTAATATAGAAAATGATTGAATAGTTGTAGGGCAATAAAGAGAGTTTCCTTTAAAGCTGAACATAAAAGTGTATGCATATGTATAACATTATGTGATTCATATTTATGGACATAACTACTAATCACAATAATAATTATTATTGAACAATGGAAAAACATTATTGTACTCGATGATATCCCTAAAGTTTTCATAATCCTACCAATTCAAAAAGTACACGTTTGTTATGACTTTAAGCTTTGGAATGACCGTTTAAATTAAGGAACATTATCATGATGAATTTACAATTTGGGAGTCGAAATATTTGACAAAATACATCACAAAGTTCATTAAAAATATGAAATGTTACACTTTACATTCAAAACAATAGATATTAATTAGTACCAGTAGCAAATGTAAGCACAAAACAAACTTACCGATGAAAGGTAATATTATCAATTTTTCGTTGATTGATGCTGTTGCATCCTAAAATGCTACAACTTACCATCTTTTTCACCTTACCTAATAACTAAAACCTACAAAAAACACTGAATTCAATTACCTGTTTGCTTATAATATCAATGTTATTCACAAACGCTTGACATCGTTAATGTCAAATAAAGGAGGAAAACAATAAAAAATGCATACGTTGAAAGAGACAAGAAATATAGTTTTGCTTCTCCCTAACTGTTATGTCTAACAATATACGTGCATTCCTTTCACACGTTGATGACGTCACTGAATGTTTAGCTTATAAGATATTTATATGTCTATTTTTATATGGCTGAGTTTATGTTTATATGTCTGAGTCCTAGAGTCTATGGTATAAAATCAGTATTTCAATCATAGATAAATAGATTTCAATGTGACGCATCAATTTATTATTGTGTAGCAGTGTATGAACTTGATACTGAGATTATGAGATATATGAAGACATGGCTTAAAAGACAAGCATCCAAGCATCATCCAAGAAAGAAATCTTAATAAAAAATCGGTATGACAGATGGAAGACAAAATTAAATTATTCAATTAGAAGAAGAGCATTGAATTGAATGTGAATTGTGTTTTTAACGTGTGTTATTTACATTAACTAATTAATATTGAACCTCAAAAATATTTTGAAGCAACGGTGCCGCGTTAATGACATTATGTCTATTACTACAAATATTTGCATTACTTTCTCCATTACCTTTTTATGTCTTTGTTTTATTTTAACAACCGATAACTTCGTGAGAGCAAATGAAAATGATGCCGAGAGTATAACAAAAATTGGCCAAGGAATGGGTCACATTATGAACATTTATTATTGGTATGTATAAATTTAAGCAACACACCTCGTAAGAGGAGCCTATCATTTAAGACGAAGGTTACGTGCATTGCCCTTGTTTTTAGAAATTTTCTTTTTTTCTTTTGCTTATGTCATTACATCATTAAATCGTATGAAGCCGTGTTAATATTATTTACGCTTGTGATTTCATTCCAGTTCAAGCTATTGATATGTTAAAAAAAGTAGATCTGAACAGTAGTTGTTTCAAATTGTTAACTTATCTAAAGATGAAGTGGTTAAATGAAATAGAAATTTTGTCATGGAATACATCTATGATTGTAAAGAAATATTTACAATTCGTTATTAATGAAAGACATCCTTTAAAGTCAAGGACTAGTCTTTCTACTGGTGATGTAGCTTTTATCAATGTCCTTGTATATCTTACTATCAACCTCTGTCACTCTTGCTACCTGCGTGAAATAATTAATACAATTGCGAGTCACCCCCTCGATACAACGCAGTCAGGGCTAGTGTTCTAGGCAATTGAATGTTAAAGTTTTTTAAAACTGTTTATGTAAATAGTTTTTTTGTAAATACTTGTTGAAATACTAGTAGAAATAGGTTTTGTTTAGTGTTTCGTATATTTAATTTTAAGATAAAATAGTTGAAAATCGTTAATATCATTTAAGAATAATATATAAATTTATATTACCTATCTATTTGATAAATGGCAAAATGTCATTCCTACTACAATTGTTGCTTGGATGGATGCTTAATGAGCAAACAAAAAGATTCAAATATATCATTTTTTAAGTTACCGAAGGATAGTGGAAGGTGAATATATATATATTTTTTGTTAGATGGTACTTATAGCAAAAAATAATTAAGTAATAATTAAACTACAGAAGGAATACCTAATGACTTTATTACAAAACTTAGTTGAAATTTACCACACTATCCAGGTAATTACTTACATACCCACTTGTCTTTTAGGTAATTAAAATATTTTAAGATATACCGAATGTCCCAGAAGTCGACGTCAAGCCAGAATTGGGTGATAGGTCAAGTCATAATAGTTAACAGAAAAATATAAAATAAAATCTTTGCTATGTGTTTTAAAAATTACAGGCATTTAAAAAAAATCAAGAAAATCTACATCCTGTGATGGTCTTTTAACTCTTTTTGCTACAAATTTTAACTTTTTTGTAATTTTCTTTTTCTTATGTAATCCTGAATAATGCTTCTGAAAACTATTACTTAAAATTTACAGCTGACTGCTCCAGTCCAGAAAGAAATATAATTTTTTTCCCAAACAAGTTAGTATTCAAAGTGAATACTTTGCCTAGTTTTTATGACTGTACTGAAAAAAAAATGCACTACACGAGTTTTGCACATAACTTTAAAAGTTGGCGTATTTAATAATGATTCCAAAACGTTAACACTTGCAAGATTATTTGTTAAATTATGGAAAAATAATTTTTTTTAAAGAAACCCAGCTGTAAATTAATTTTCCTTACCTGTCTAAAATTATTTTTGTGTACCTCAAGGCTTTCCTCAAGCCTGTTACTTAAGATTCTAGTTTGAGTGAGCAAGACAGATAGTGATGCTAACGTGACAAAGACAGAGAAAGTAATTTTACATAGTTTGAGCGAGACAGATAGTGACGCTACTTTTTCGCTGTCGCAAACACAATTAAGTTCAGTACATTACGCTCCTTCGTTTACTGCGCATCTTTCTATATTTGTTTGTGTTGATTTCGTACTAACCACATTTGGTTTTGTTTATTGGACTTAATTACTTGTGATTTGGATTTAGCCTGTTTAGTTTATCTTTAAGACAACCTTTGCTATCCTAGCTATGTGATTGTGCAGTGCCACCATGTCTATGTACACCACACAAGAAATAACACAAAAAACAATGCTAACACGTATGGGGAGAGGCACTCGAGAACAGTGGGGAAGCACTTGCTGTTTCCCTTGATGTCACAAAGGCCTTTGACAGAGTTTGGCACACTAGCCTTTTGGGTAGGATTGCAACGTATGGCTTATCCCCTGGTCTGATTGACTGGGTAAAGAACTTTTTGAGTGAATGGTGTCTCCGGGTCATCGTCGATGACTGCTCATCCGATCCTGTTGCGACTAACGCCGGTGTTCCTCAGGGATCCGTCTTCACTGCAACTATCTTCCTGCTGCATATTAATGATCTGCTTATGCCTGGCATCTATGGGTATGCAGACGATAGCACAGTTGTGGGGGGATACCAACCAAGTCCTCGGGCCAGTCGGGCTCAAATCCAGTCCGAAAGAGAAACTATGGTAGAGCGTGTGAAATTCAACGCATCAAAACTCCTCTCTTTACTGCAAAAAGGAGCCAGCTCACCTTGGCTCCTTCTTTCCGAAATGTATCACTGGAGTACACCGGCCGCTTTCAGTTGTTGGAGGTTAAGATATCCTCAAATATGAACTTCGGGCGGTTCATTGAGTCCAAGGCCAAAGCAGCTGCAATGAAGCTAGGAGTCCTTGCAAAGGTGCGGCGATACTTCACGCCGGAACAGTTGCTTACTTTATATAAAGCGCAAGTTCGTTCGTTCATTGATTTTTTTTTTTTAATTTATTTCAACAATGTAACAGTTTTAATTACAATATAATTTCTTCGTGCCATTAAACACAATTGTGTTTGTCTTGGCACTGCACAGTTTGCTCTAATATGTTATACATTATACTTTATTTTACATAATATTGAACTTAACCTTTACTTAACCTGAATATTGTACGGATTAATCCCAGCCGCCAAATTTCACGAACGCACATCGCGGCAGAACTCCCGATACCATCCACACCATCTGGATGATTGGCGGTCCACCACTGTGCGATTTAGAAGATGTTTTCTTCCTCGCACAACTTCTTTGTGGAATAGTTTACCACCAGCGATTTTTCCGGACCGATACGACTTAGGGACCTTCAAGAAAAGAGCCTACTCCTTTTTAAAAGGCCGGCAACGCATCTGCAATTCCCCTGGTGTTGCGGTTGTTCATGGGCGGCGGTAGTCACTTACCATCAGGTGAGCCGCATGCTTGTTTGACCCCTCTACTATAAAAAAAAAAAAAAAAGAATATAAAATAGGTACCATATTACAATTGTGTGAGAGAATATTAAGCGTTTTTTGTACTTACATAATTTTATACAAACTTTATATTAGATATTTCTAAAACTATTTTTTTTTTTATGGAGAGGGTAGTTTTTGATATTGTTTACAAGAAATAAGCAAGAATGTGAATATTATTGTCTTCGATTGTTCGACTCGCTTATACACTATACTGCACATTAATTACGCGCGTACACACGGAATGCATTTTTAAGGACTAGTTTTTTTTTTTTTTCTCTGGTTACACGTTTTGTTTATTTGTCCGTTTTTGGCAATATATTTGCATAGATAAATATAGATTATCATGATTATTATTTAATATTTTTTATTTTTTTTTGAAGAATTCTAATTATATAAAAAACGTTTAAGTTTTGTTTTTATGTTTTGTGCTGTTAGTTGGCTTCTTAATTCTGTAGGTAAAGAATTTAACAGGTATGGTATTAGATATTTACGTGTTCTTTTACCGTAGTAATTATTCGTTCTAATTAGTGAATAAGGTGTTGTATTTCTGGTGTTATAATTGCGATCTCTTGGGGTTGGGTCTATTGAGTACTCATAACATTCTTTCAGAAGCATATATTTCATCTTTTTATGTATGGGTAAAACATTGCAGTACGTGAAAAGGTATGAGTAGTCATTGCGATATTTATCCTTGATATGTTGAGGCAAAATAGATTTTAACAATCTTATTTGTAAGCTGTATATTTTATCTAGATAAGTGCGGAAAGTTCGCCCATAGCTACTAAGACCATATGACACTATCGATTCCACTAAAGCATTATAAAGGCTTAAACGAATTTTAAATGGAATTGTATTACGAATAATATGAAATTTCGCTAGGACTGCTCTTAATTTACTACACACATAATCAATATGATTCTTCCAGTTCATCCTATCATTTATGACCACTCCTAAATATGTGTGATATTTAACAACCGGAATTTTTTCACATGAACAAGTTATTGTATTATGCAGACAGAGATGATTATGAGCGATAATGCTGATTGGCCTAATGTTCCTGATGTGACTTGAGTGAATGTGTAGTATCTTGGTTTTTTGTATATTTATTATAAGTCCTAGGTCGTGTGCCCACATAGAGAGGCGTGAAAAATCATCTTGTAACTGTTGCATGGCTATTTCCACATTTTTATCTTCTGACAGAAGACACGTATCATCAGCGTACTGGTATAAACTACATTTTTTAATTATGTTTTCTAATTCATTTACGTATGTTAAGTAATGGAGTGGCCCTATAACTGAGCCTTGTGCCGTGCCTGTAGTCATAGGCATTTTAATACTTAAATTATTTTCTATCTTTACTTGGAAATATCGATTGCTCACATAGTCTTTACACCATCTTAGGAAGGGTCCTCTAACACCAGAGTTTTCAAGTTTTCTTAGAAGAATGTCATGTTTTAAGGTGTCAAAGGCTTTACTAAAATCAATGAAAGCAATTAATACATGCTTTTTCTCATCTAGACATTTATTTACTTCGTCTGTAAAGTTTGACAGTAACTGTGTAGTAGATTTTTTTGGCTGAAATCCGTATTGAGATGCCGAAATAATTTTATGTTTTTGAAAGTAGTTATAAAGCTGGTTGGATGTGAATTTTTCTATAATTTTGTCAATTATTGGGAGTATAGTAATAGGCCTGTAATTATTGTAATCGTCTTTATGTCCACTTTTGTAAATAGGTCGTACCAATCCTAATTTTAAATCTGTAGGATAGATGCCTGTATTTATACTACTGTTAATTAACTTGACAATCACTTTAGCATTTTTTTCTGATATAGCTTTAATGTCAATCGTACGAATTCCGTCGGCACCTGGTGCCTTTTTTGTGTTAAGTGTTTGTATTATATTTTTTATTTGCTTTGTGTTCGCTTTTTGAAACCGTAT